TTTCATAATTTGCTTTCTTTTCATTTTTTTATGCAGATATTTTGGAAAAATACGATGAAAACTAACAAATTTATCATTATTCAACGTGATGAATGATGAATTTATCCTTTTTTCCTTTGAAGCATACAATATATTCTAATGCAAAAAGCGAAAGAGAGGGGTGAGGATTATTTGTAGTTTGTTTAACTTAGATAATTGAAATGTACATCATTTTTGATATGGTACTTCAGTATTTCTGCAAATAAAATTTAAATAGGCTAATTATACAAATTCTGTCTTAGCTTTCTTCATTTGCTTTTGGCTGAGCCAAAATGATTGGGCTAGAATTCCTGACGAATGCCAAAAATGGAATTAAATAGTAATATATGCAACAGTCATATGATGATGATGCGATAGAAATAACATCATCGTCGAAGCTTAGTAATATACATAAATTAAGGATAATAGTAAGTAATAGATTCAACCGCAGTGAGTAAATAGACTGGTCATAATTTAAGTAATAATAAGTGATGAGCTCATCATAATCTAAGTAATAGCAAGTAATAAGCTAATCATAATTTAAGTAATAAATTAATCCCAATTATCATTTATGTGGCGATTAATTTTTACTTCGTTTATGACGATGATTACAGTGATTTATGAAACAACATGTCAAGATATCGAGAATTAATTCTGTTTTTCCGATTCATCGATATTTATGTCCTACAAGTATTTTGTTCGGATATTCTTTTAAATGCATTATGAAGAAATACTTTATTTTATAAATATGTATATATATGTATATGTATATTTTTACAAGCAAAAGCGATAAAATACACTTCTATAGTTTCACATTTAAGGCGAAAATTAATTGGTGTTGTAAAAAAAAATAACTTAGCAGCAACTGTACAAATGATGATTGCAATGATAGTGATCACAATTATACCTATCATTATTTTCAAGAGATATTTTACGACTTATAACGATGAAAAAAAAAAGGTTAATTTCGGGAAAAATTAAATGTTATATTATTTTTTTCTTTTTGAATTTTAGTATAACATTTAAAAATTTCTCGAGGAGAATATTATTCGATGATAACGGTAATAATTTAGCAGAAGTTATGAGATTACACAGTTATATGTAGAGCATCAAATTTTAAAAATTGCAAAGCAGAGAGATTAAATGAGAACAGATATGGATTATGCAAATAATTCCTTGGATATTGAAGAGATAAAGAAGTAAAGGTCACAATAAATTGCTAAATTATGGAATTACTATAAAAAGTTAGGAGGTCAATGCTCACAACAGTAACAAATAAACCAGTAGCAATGAATGTGTATATGTTTGCAAATCAGATTTCTGTTGACATTTCATTCATTATATCATGGAAAACAACAATTATGTTAAGACTACAAGTTCATTTAATTGACCTTAGATCTTCTGGATAATTAATCTCATGCCTTCTAGTCATACCAAAATAGTGATAAGTTACTATGCTATATGTGATACAATAACTCAAAAGCTCCAATTAGATTAATAAATAAAATGAAAGTAAAAAATATGTTTTTCACTTAGCTTTATTTGATTTTCTAGAAAAATTATTTGTAAAATTTCGTTTGAAAGCCAAAAGAGAAGAAAGAAAACGAAGTCAACAATTCTGATTTTTACATCAATTTCATTTTATTCGGTAGAAAAGCACTCGATTATTATGAGATTCCAAGAAATGTGATATTAAAAATAAGCAACAGTAATTGCGAAATTTATCAATAAGTAAATAAAAATGATGAGAGATAATGAGAAGCAAAAGAAAAAAAAATTTGAAAAAAAAAAGTGAGCTTTATATATGTAAAAAATGAGATGATGTGATATACAAGGAGAACTTTGCTAAAAAAAAATACTTTTCTTCTGCGGAAAAGATTAAATACTTGTCTCGATGGAAAAACATTTTTACAATATAAAATCGAGAAATTAAGAATTTTCTCGCTAAATTACTGTTATCTTTATCTCTGTACTACAAACAGATGAGAGCTTACATTAATTAGTAATTAAAACTATTAGCAAGCTATTTTTTTTTGCAAATAAAGCGTTTCAAAAAAATAATCTGTTTTTTGCAAAGAAATTTTTGATAAATTTTTTGATGCTTTATTGAATTATTTATGATAATCGATTATGAATGATT